TTTTCCTGTTTTGCTAAGAAAATAAAATAATCCATTATGAAAAGCGGGACTTACGTTGCGGAGAGTAAATTCCTTGTCTTCAAATGTGAAAATGCCATTTCTTCCTTCCAGAAGGTGATGTACATATCCTTTTGTCAATGATGATACTGAAAATCCTTTAACAAACTCAAGAGTCACACATTGAAAAGAGGTTGGGGAATGTGACATGCCAAAACACCTGGTATTTCGGGTTCCTGTACCCCAAAATGGAAATGATAGCACTTGCTTTGTAAAAGGATTGAAGAAAACTTTAAAAGTTCCGTCAACTGACACCAGCAATAGCCAACCATCTTTTGAACAACAAATTTCTGAATTCAAGCTCCAAACTTCATCTTGAGGAAATTTTATGATGTATTTGTACTCGAGACCATGCTTCGGACTCACAAAAGTGAAGACCTTGTCCTTTGAGAACACAAGTAAAGGACACATGGAGCGATCATCAAACCTTGACATTGACATGGAAGAAGATGACCTCCATTGAATCGGTGGTGCTGCTAGACGAAGGAATTTATTGGTAGCTCGAAAACTCAAATAATCAAGTACATCATTAATATGTTTTGCAATCACTTCAAGCAATTCTATGGGAAGTGCATATTCATTATGAGCTTTATCACAAAGATTTTTTTTCTCTCTAATTTCTTCTTTGAGCATAGTAGTCATCCTACAAAACAAATAATATTAAAAGCATAATCAAATTAAAACTGGCAGGAACTAATAAGGGCTAGGTCAAGTGGCTTGAACTAACTGAGCTAAGGATTAAGAAAGTCTACGGATCAAGTCTTGGCAAGGATGTAAATATATTAATAACAGTGTAATTAAAAAAAAGGACTTAACATATTTTTGAAATAAATGCGTAAAAAAAAATTACCTGATAAACGGAAGGAACCATCTTGAATAAGACCGAGTTTCTGATAAATTAGAGAAATGCTGAGAAGTTACAAGGCAATTGTCTTCAATGTTGTAAATATAAAAAAATTTGCAATCTTTTAAAGCAATATAGATGTGGCCTCCTTCTGTTTCTGGATTGGATACTGGACAAGCAAAGGCTGGGTCAAGACTGGATATAAAGAACACTTTATCCTTGATGCTTTCCACCTTTACCCACACTCCTTGAGAAGAATCAAATTTGAAAACAAAAACTGCAGTAACCCTATCTCGTTCATGGTAAACTTGTATTCGAAATAGTATGTTGTTGGATACAATCAAGTGACTGAGCTCATGAAAACTAGTTGGTAGATGCATGAGATCAGTTGTGCAGTTTATTGTAAAGCCATTAAGTTTATGTTTTTCAATAACTACTATAATAGAACGGTCCTGAGTCCACATTCCTGCATAGACGCGATGATTCCAGTAAAATGGGTTTTCAAAATAGACTCTCTTTCCCCGCATAAGAGATTTACCCTCCATAGCTAAAACTCTCGCAATATCTTCATTAAAGCAGGCCTCAGTCCATTGCTTATCTCCAAGTTGGTAGTAAAATATTGAAAGGCTATAGGATGGAAATAAAAAAATGGAGCATGGTTGATCATTGGTAGATGGAGGGGATGACAAAATGCAACTGTAAAAAATAGTGCCATGGTGTTTAAGGCGTGGGAGGATGATTTTGTTAAGGTTACACGGATTCCAAAGAAACAATTTACTAACATATTTTGATATCTTGTTTTCCCAAAGAAACCAACCATGTTGTACTGTTAGTAGCTTTGATTTCTTGAATTCTGGATTCCATGTAGAATAGGATTTGGATGGATCTGATATGCTGCAAAAGGTTTGATGAGTGCTTAGGGTTTTATCACTGAAATACATAAGCAATGGTTTTATCTCTCCTTCCATTGAGTTAGGATAAGCTGCAACTATCAATTAATTGCTGCAATCAACTATCAATTGATTAACGATATAGGAATGAATTTTAAAACAAAAGTAACCTTGAAGATAATGATTACTTCAAAACAATTAGGGTTCACCAAATAATGGGATTACCTTTAAATAATATTAACAAAACCTAATATATAGGAAGCAACAAGAGAAATACCTTAAATTTAGTTTAGATTATCATATAGATAGAGATACTTTAAATAAAATATGAAGGAAATAAACTAAATTCCGGTTAAAAAGGCAAGAAGATTTTATTTAAACGATAAGCAGCTTAAAAAATTATCATGTGTGCCGGCATTAAAATTAAAAATAAATATTGTTTTTTTTTCCAATATATATTGTTCTATTTTAACAAATTCTCATTAATTTCTTTAGTTTTTTATTTGTTACTGAAGAATATTTATAGTAACAAACAAATCATACAATTGATTATTTAATTACCATTATTATTGTTTATATCATCAATTGCAATTAAACTAATTGATATTAATATCAATTATAATTACTAGTATACCCGCACGTACACACGAGTACGGATTGGTATGCACGTTTTTGTTTTTAAAATGTAATAAAAATATAAATAAGAAAAACAAAATTGTTTTATCAAAATAGTTTGTTATTTTAAAAAAGAAAGACATATTTTTAAAATAAAAACAAAATTGTTTTACATCAATAATATATATTATAATTTTTCATATATTATTTTTTAAAAATTTGTATGTTAAATTAAAAATAATTTCAAAATACAAATATTAGATACATAAATAATTAAAAAAATAACACATTTTTCTCATGTTTCGATTAATATATTATTTTTATTTTCTTTAATTGTACAAAAAATGTAATAATCCGTGTGTTCGCACAATTTTTATGTGATTACCCTTGCGTTCACATGTTACTACTCTGCTACTCCTACATTTGCACGGGTATTGGTGTGTTAGGCGCATATTTTTTCCAAAGATATAATAAAAATGAAATGAAAAAAAGACAATTGTTTAACCAAAATAGATGATTATTTAAAAATAATAATAATAAATCAGTTTTTATAATTTTTTTCATATATAAAGCTGACTGATGATATAATATACTGGAATCAAATGGAGGAAAAACATCTCCTGCAGAGGTCAAAAATTGACTGGCTTAAAGTGGGGGATGGGAATACTGCCTTTTTCCATGCCTACTTGAAAGCTAAGCACAATCAGAATAATATGAATATCCTACATAAAGATGATGGCTCCATTCTGCATAGTCAGCAGGATATCTTGCAGGAGGTTAGGGACTTTTATGCTAGTCTTATGGGAATGCAGAATAAAACCTTGATCCATGTAGACATTGATGCTATGAGGAGGGGGAAACAACTCAGTCTGTTGCAGAGAAACTTTTTGGTGGGCAAAGTCACTGAGAAAGAGATTGAAAATGCTCTCAAAGGAATTGGAGATCTTAAATCCCCAGGTGCTGATGGGTATGGAGTAAAATTCTTCAAATCCTGTTGGAAGTTTATTAAAGCAGATGTGGTGGCAGCAGTCATGGAGTTCTTTGATCATAACAAAATTTTTATACCTTTCAACAAGACTGTGGTGACTTTGATTCCAAAGAATGATCAAGCCAAAAGAATAAAGGATTATAGACCAATCGCAGACTGCACTACATTCTACAAAATTATCTCTAGAATTATCTCAGCTAGATTAGGGACTGTTTTTCAGGGGGTTCTGAATCATAGTCAGGCTGCTTTCATTCCTGGGCAGAATATCCATAACCATATTATGTTGGCTTATGAAATCATCAAAGGTTATAGTATGCAGTCTGAAGCCCCTCGATGCATGTTGCAGATTGATCTCCAAAAGGCATATGATATGGTGGATTGGGGAGCGCTTGAGGTGATTCTGAGGGAGCTAGGCATACCACCAAAATTCATTCAGTGGATTATGCTTACAGTTACTACTGTTTCCTATAAGTTCAATGTGAATGGTGTATTGACTAAGCCTATGCAAGCTTGTAGGGGGGTGAGACAAGGGGATCCACTCTCCCCCTTATTATTTGTAGCTATCATGGAATATTTGAGTAGACTGCTGCTCAAAATGCAGCATGATACTAATTTCAAATCCCATGCAAGGTGTGAAAAAATTGGCCTCACTAACCTTTGTTTGCAGATGATGTACTACTGTTCAGTAAGGGAGACTATAATTCTGTGAGCACTACAACATTTGTTGTCTCTGGCAACACTTATTTAGGTAACATGTAGAAATTGTTGCCTTAAATTCATATAGGTAACGATTTACGATTATTGTCAAAAATATGTTTGCAACCCTTGATAATCGTCGCCTAAAATACTTTTGGGAACGTTTATGGAGCGATACTCTTTTATTTTTTTGCCAACAGTTGTTAATTGTGCCCTTAACTGCTTTTGGGGACGATTTTAGAGCGTTAAAATATTATTTTTTTAGCAATGTTTGACAATTGTCCCCTTAAATATTTTTGGGGACATTTTTAGATTGTTACATTAGTTCTAATAAAAGGCTACATTTCTAAAATATTGTATATATTTTTTTAGAATTATCAAATTTTTGGTGGCAATCTTCCCTCCAAAACTTATACACTAAAAAACAAATATTTTTCTCTAAACATTATTAATATATATATAAATTTTTTTTTCTAACACAGGAATTTAAAATCCTAATAAAATAAACATATAAAAAGCAAAGAGGTTACAGTAGAAACAAATGGGAGGAACCACCCATATCTAATATATCTAATATATATATATATATATATATATATATATATATATATATATAGACATTCCACTCTCTTTATAAAAATAAAAAGGAAAAAACTTCCTATTAAAAATAAAAACAAAAGAAGACCAAACTTTAAGAAACAGAACACGTTAACCCAAACCTCAGTATTCTTTCTTTCTCATTTTTTTAGATCTTCTGCTAACCTTCCTCCTCCATATCTCTTCATTTTTCTTAACTTAACAAATCTCTCATAAATTCAAATTAAACAAACAAGCCATCGAAAGGTGAAAGTATTGTACCTGAAACCCAGAATCGTTGGTGGGTTGCGGGTTGTTGTTACACTGGATCTAGATGGAGGGGTTTGCGATCGTGTTGGTTCTGTGGCAGAAGGTATGGACTGTGGATCTCGGAGTGCGCCGTGGTGGTTTACTTTAGTGACGGTTCTCGGTGCTACAGGGCGTTTGTCGGCGTCGCGTGTTATTTCTGGTGCATTGTGGACTCGCGGCTGCGATCGGAGCGGAAGGCTGGAGTCTCAAGTCTGCGCGATTTGGAGTGTGGTAAGGATGGAAGAGGAAACTTATTCTTCCCACTTCTTTTTGACTTCGCATTATTTTCTGCTACGGTTATGATATTATTGTCGTCTAGAATTCACTGCTGGGTTAAAGGTGATGAGTTTGTGTGAGTTTTGGTTTTTGTGTGTATAAGCGCTACTAATATTTTCATTGTTACAGTAAGATAGAGTTAGGTCAAATTTTAAGAGTTGCAAAGAGGAAAATTCAAGAGTCGATGATCTCCTTATAACTTGTAAGTACTTAAATACTTACAAGTTACTTCTCTTGACTGAATATACACGAGAAGTGTTGCCTCTTTACTAGAGCAGTGAAAATTAAGGCTATATGATACTTGTGGTTGGACTGCAAAGATAAGAAATATTCTTCATAGATATTTCTTCTTAATATATATACTCAATCTTTTTTTCCAAGTCGTATTGCAGGAGAGATGATTGTAGGTCCCATAAAAGCACTTTTTATGGATGAAATATCAACTGGCTTAGACAGCTCCACTACTTTTCAAATAGTTACATGTCTCCAGCAATTGGTGCACATCAATGATGCAACAGCAGTGCTTTCACTCCTCCAACCAGCACCAGAAACCTTTGAGTTGTTTGATGATCTTATATTGATGGCAGAGGGGAAGATAGTATACCATGGCCCCTGCAGTCAAGCACTCCAGTTCTTTAAGGATTGCGGTTTCTGGTGCCCTGAAAGAAAAGGAGTGGCAGACTTTCTTCAAGAGGTAGGAATAGAAACTGTGTCCCTTACCATTGCGCCAAAGTTCAAGTGATTTTACTCATAGTTTCACGAATTACAAATTTCATGCGCGCGCAGGTAACCTCTAAGAAGGATCAAAGGCAATACTGGTACCACACGGATATTCCTTACAGTTATGTTTCAGTGGATGAGTTCTCTCAAATTTTCAAAACAAGCTACTGGGGAAGAATGTTAGATGATGAGCTCTCACAACCATATGATAAATCTCAATCCCATGAAAGTTCTTTATCATATAGCAAGTACTCCTTAGGAAAATGGGATTTGTTTGAAGCTTGTATGAAGAGGGAGATTCTTCTCATGAAACGAAACTCGTTTATCTATATATTCAAAACTGTGCAGGTTACTATCAAATTCAAGTTCAATTCAACTCAGCTAAGTCGTACTTGAACATATAAAATCTAACTTGCTTCTTTTTTCGCTTGTTTTGCAGCTTACAATCACTGCAATCATAACAATGACGATCTTTTTACGCACACAACTTGACGTGGACTTGTTAGGATCAAACTATTTATTAGGTTCACTGTACTATACACTTGTACGCCTAATGACAAATGGAGTTGCCGAGTCGATAATGACTATTACTAGACTACCCGTTGTTTATAAGCAGAAAGCATTCTATCTCTATCCAGCTTGGGCTTACTGTCTTCCAGCTGCCATACTAAAGATTCCATTTTCAGTCCTTGATTCTCTTGTTTGGACATCAATAACATATTATGTTATAGGCTACAGCCCAGAAATAACAAGGTCTGTAACTCGTGTATATGTAAGTATAGTCAAACTTTTTCTCTTTTCTTTTGCAAGTTTTTTCTTATATATTTATTATTGAACCAGGTTCCTCCGCCAGTTCCTTTTGCTTATCGCTCTGCACATGTCATCAACCTCTATGTGTCGTTCCCTTGCTGCAGTTTTTAAAACTGATGTTGCAGCTACAATTGTTGGTTCTTTGGTCTTAGTACTCATGTTCTTGTTTGGAGGCTTTATTCTTCCTCGACATAAGCCGCTTTATATCGTCTCAGTTATAACATGTGGTAGTACTAAATTACTAATTACCAAGTTACTCATCATGGAGTTTATTCTCTGCAGCATCATTACCAAAGTGGTTGAGGTGGGGTTTTTGGCTTTCTCCCATGTCATATGGGGAAATAGGAATAACACTCAATGAATTTCTTGCTCCTCGCTGGCAAAAGGTATCTTCTAAGATAATTTATTTGGTTTCATGATAGGTCACAATATACGTTTATATGGATCTAATTCATATACATTGTCAGGATGATGATTTTTTATATTGTCAATGAATCATAATCGGAAGATCATTACAAATGTTTGACGTTTATTCTAAATACTACTGAAGTCACGCATATAACTGGTTGTAATTTGTTTACAGTGTAAAAAATTTTACACAGACGGTGTATCAACATGAATCTCCAATTATATATTTATATTTACTATCGTTATTTTCATCATCATTATTTTTCAGATTCAAGAGGGAAACATCACCGTTGGAAGAGAGGTTCTCAAGAGTCGTGGTTTAGACTTTGATAGCAACTTTTTCTGGATATCAATTGCAGCATTACTTGGTTTCGCAGTAGTATTTGATATCCTATTTGTAGTAGCATTAACTTACTTAAAAGGTGAGTCCTATCCATGATATTACAAGGAAAAATATCAAACAATTGTTTTTATTTTGCTCAATCCACTGATTTGATGGGAAATGCATTCAGAGCCAAAGCAATCTCGAGCTTTAGTTTCTAAAAAGAGGCCGCCTCAACTAAAAGGAGGAGAAAGAAGCAATGAAGTGGAATTAAAAAATAAGTCAGTAGCAGTTGATATTACCCACACATCAAAGGAAGCTCAAAGCACAGGTAGAAAAGAGATACTTTATGGCAACTTATTTCACAGATGAATTCTTTCTTTCAAACATATAGTAACGACTTTTGGTATCTTTCGCATGGTTGGTTATGCAGGGAAAATGGTCTTGCCCTTTTTTCCACTGTCAATAGCATTTAAGGATGCCCAGTATTTTGTTGACACTCCTCCGGTAAATTTTATAATCACGTTATTGTTGTAATATGATTATGTAAATTGTTGACAAGGTTGTCAATTAAGAAATTTACTCTTCTTCTGAGCAGGAGATGAAAAAGCATGGTTCGAATGAGAAAATTTTACAATTGCTCTGCGATATCACGGGAGCATTTAGGCCAGGAATCCTTACTGCTTTGATGGGAGTCAGTGGAGCAGGAAAGACAACACTCATGGACGTGCTTTCAGAAAGAAAAACTGGAGGTATCATTGAAGGAGATATAAGAATTGGAGGGTACCCTAAAGTTCAAAAGACATTTGCAAGAGTTTCAGGTTACTGTGAGCAGAACGACATACATTCTCCATATATAACAGTTGAAGAATCTGTTCAATACTCAGCTTGGTTGCGGTTGCCAAGCGAGATTGATTCAGCTACAAAAGGGGTATGGGATTTGAACCGTGCTTTGTCTGTCATTTTCACATAAAAGATGCTTTTTGTAACTTTATATGTGTATCTGTTCTGCAGAAATTTGTTGAAGAAGTCCTTGAAACAATTGAACTTGATGATATAAAGGATAACTTAGTTGGTATCGCTGGTCAAAGTGTCTTATCTACCGAGCAACGTAAAAGGCTAACTATAGCAGTAGAGCTTGTATCCAATCCTTCAATAATTTTTATGGATGAACCTACATCTGGTTTGGATGCCCGAGCTGCTGCTGTAGTTATGGGTGCAGTGAAGAATGTTGTTGGCACTGGTAGGACCACAGTTTGCACCATACATCAGCCAAGCATCGATATATTTGAACCTTTTGATGAGGTAGTCAATAGTACCTTCTGCTGTATATTTGTGTACGGATAACATACGGATCAACAAATAAAAATGAGTTTTTTTCATGCAGTTGATTCTAATGAAATCAGGAGGCAAGATCATTTATAATGGAATGCTAGGCCATCATTCAAATAGACTGATTGAATATTTTCAGGTATGCTCAGACCCGAAGCGAAGTACTCAGTGTTTTAGATTCTGGACAAATCCATGTGATTATCTTATTTGCTAAAGTTCTTTTCTTGCAATGTACATTCACAAAAAACTGTTCCTTAGTCATCACTCCTTTGCCTGAATTGTTGAAATTTATATCTAATTGACTTGACTGTCCATCAGAGTATACCGGGAGTTCCAAAGATCAAGGACAATTATAATCCTGCAACCTGGATGTTGGAAGCTACTTTTGCATCTGTAGAGTATATCTAATATTTTTTTTTTGTAATTTATGCTAGTCCCAACTTCAAGAAATGGTTGAAAAGGAGGAAAGTGATACAAAAGCTTTTAAAGTTTTTTTTGGAAAGGAGTGTCCAGGCAGGGTACGCTGAGATAAGATTGATAGATTGCAAAATACTTTTAAGACCGTAATACAACAATGCAATCCTCAAATTAATATAGAGTCAATTGAAGATTTGTTAGGATTATCTCATGGAGATGCTAATAGTTCCCCAAAGGATATAAGACCGCAAATGCATTCATCAACTCAAGTAAGAGTGTTCATCAGAGTTCATTTACTCCAAAAAATAAACATAAAAGGATAGCACAAGTTATACATACATACATACAGTTAAAGGCTATTGTAAGTCCTGAATAGTGAGCCAAAAACAGAATGGTTTTCATAATTGATTTATTTGCTAGTAAGCTCATGTCACCTATTACAATTTAGAACGAAAATTCACATCCATTAAAAACCTTCATAATTAATTCACATCCATGAGATGTGAAGAATATAAACAATGTGTTTTGCTCATTGGTTTAGTTTTTATTTGTGCGAGTTTAATTCTTGTTGATGTCTTAATTGTCTTTTGGACCAAAAATACTTATGGTTAATGTGTTTTATTTTATTTTCTTATGCAGCAATGTATCAATGAAGATGTTGAAAAGGACGATATAAATGATGAAATTCAAGAGGACGACATAAATGATAAAATTCAAGAGGACGACCTAAATGATAAAATTCAAGAGAACGACGTAGATGACGAATTTCAAGAGGACGACATAGATCTAGATGATGAATTTCAAGAGGAGGATATAGATGGTGAATTTCAAGAGGACGACGTAGATGGAGAATTTATGGAGGATGACATATCTAACGAATTTCAAGAGGACGATCTGGATGCTTTACTCCTAGAAGACAAACTTGAATGAGTTGGATGATGTCTTTTTTTGGCTTGTAGTTGAAAGCATTAAACTTGAAATATGATTTTTGTTCTTTTGCTGAACTATGTTTTTAGTTATTTTACCAGGGTCATACTTCAAAGTATTAAAAGTAATATTGTTACGTTAGGCATTTTGTGTACTCTATATACTATATCTTGAATTAAAGTTTGAACTCGATTTTATTATATTACAACTTTTATGGATGTATGATTTAAGTTATATAATCAATATTATTTTTGAAGCCAATTATTATTGACTATATTATTTTGATAATAATTGCAAAATTGTATATTTTATGTGGACACTATAAAACAACAACCTATAAGCTATGGCTACACTTCAAAAATGATCTTCCTGATTCAGGTTTAAGGCAACGATTGTTAATTGTAGCCGAATTTGGCAACGCAACGCTTAAAAAACGTTGTCTCAGAGGCCGTAAATAATCGTCCCCTATACCTTTACTATAGGCGACGTTTTTCAAAAGCGTTCCCAAAAAATATAAAAAAACGTCGCCTCAAACAATAGGCAACGCTCGCACAGGAGACGCCTAGAAAACGTCCCTTATTGTTTTAGGCAACGATTTTCAGAGTTCTGGCAACGTTTTCCAATTGTTGCTGGAGAGCCTAAATGTTGTAGTGGAGGTTGCTTATGCAGACTATGTCAACTTTCTCAGCATCAACAGGTTTGGTAATTAATCCTATGAAATGCAAGATCTTCTTTGGAGGCAGGATTAATGACATCAAACAGGATATTTTGGGCTTAACCAGGTTTGAGGAGGGTAGGCTGCCTGTGCGTTATTTGGGCATTCCCCTCACTAGCAGGAGACTTACCATTAATCATTACCTCCCTTTAATTGACAAAATAACATGCAGGATTCGACACTGGACTGCAAAGTTATTGAGCTACGCGGGGAGAGTCCAACTTGTGAAGAGTATTCTGTTTGCTACAACACAATACTGGCTCCAATGTCTTCCTCTCCCTGTATTTGTAACAAAGAAAATAAATGCCTTATGCAGATCATTTATTTGGAATAGTTCTCATGAGATTAGTCGTGAAAGTCTGTAAGCCTAGTTCTCATGGTGGCTTAAATGTGATCAATGTGGCAGTTTGGAATCAGGTTTGTATGCTAAAATGTCTGTGGAATTTATGCCGTAAGACTGATACTTTGTGGGTTAAATGGATCCATAGTTACTATATAAAAGGTGGTAATATTATGGATATGGTTATCAATACAAACTGGTATTGGGTCATGAAGAACATTATGCAGGGCAGAATCCTTACATCCCAACTCTTAGCTCCCTGGACTGACTACCTGCAAAAAGATAGATTCCATATGGGAAAGGTGTATAGACATCTCATTGATGATGGAACTCGTGTCATATGGAGGAATTTAATCATAAAGAATACTGCTAGACCCCGTTCTATTCTGACTTTATGGCAGGTATGCCATGGTAAACTGCCTACCAAAGAAAGACTTTGCAGATTTGGTTTTATTCAGGAAGACATTTGTAGCCTTTGTTCGGAGTATGTTGAAACCATTGAGCATGTGTTTTTTCAATGCAGGAACACTGGTAGGATATGGAAAGATATTCTAAATTAGATGGAGGTGCAACATAACCCCTTTGCCTGGCAGGATGAGATTAATTGGGTCATTACTCAAACGAACAGGAAAGGGTGGAAAAGGGCTTTACTCAAACTTGGTTTTACGGAAACCCTCTATAATATTTGGTGTCATAGGAATTCTATTACCTTTAATACCTTGGTTACAAAGAAAATAGAGGAGGAGATTATTGAAAACATTATATATAGGGGATGGTATAGTAAAAAGCTTAGAAAGCATATAGTTGTACTTATGTTGTAGATACTAGTCTTTTTTTGCTTGCTGGATCATTTGATCGCACTTCGTACTTAATAGTTTTTTGAATTAATACATATCCTTTGATTCAAAAAACATTTGAATCAATAGTATAATTATTCTTATATATAAATATTTTTGTTTTGGAAATATTTATAAAAAAATTTAAATCAATTGTAAAATTGTTTTCGTTATTATTTAATATTTAACTCAATAGTTTAATATCAGTACAATATATATGTACCATATCAATACATGTGTATTCGCACGAGTACTGGTTTGGTTTACACGCTTTTATTTTCAAAATCTAATAAAATTTAAATAAGAAAAACAAAATATTTTACCAAAAGAATTTATTATTTTAAAAAGAACGACATATTTTTAAAATAAAAACAAAATTGGTTTACATCAATAATATATATTTTAAATTTTCATATATTATATTTAAAAATATTGAATCTTAAATTAAAAATAATTTCAAATATACATAATCATTTAATTTCATAAATATCAACTAATAACATAGTATTTGAAAATATATTAATAACATAAATAAATATATTTTGCCCGTGAATTTTGTTCAACTGTACAAAAGATATAATAACTCCTAGGTTTGCACAGATTCTTGTATGGATACTCGTGCGTTCGTACGAGTACTGATGTGTCACGTGCATTTGCTTCAAAAATAAATTGGAAAAAAAGATAAAAATTGCCTAACCATAATAATTTATTATTTTTAAAAAAGATAATAAATTGATATATATATATATATATATATATATATATATATATATATATATATATATATATATATATATATATATATATATATATATATATATATATATATATATATATATATATATATATATATATATATATATATATATATATATATATATATATATATATATATATATATATATATATATATATATATATATATATATATATATATATATATATATATATATATATATATTTGAATCAATAGTATAATTATTCCAATATATAATTTTTTTTTGTTTTGTAAATATTTATATAAATATTTAAATCAATAGTAAATTTTATTCCGTTATTATTCAATAGTTTAATATCAATTTCATATGCGCGTACTATATCGGTGTCTGTGTGTTTGCACGAGTATTGATGTGATATATTAAATTATCGTCAGTTATTTATAAATTTAAATATCATGTGTTATCTAAATTTAATCGGTTATGTTATGTGCCACTTTATTATATTGTTAAATTAGATTAAAAAAATTCTAAATTTTTTTAAAATGATAAAAGTTAATTATTTTGATATTTTGATAATAGTAAAAATGATTTAATACTTGATAAAAACAACAAAATTATAAATTATTTATAAATTAATATCAATGAAATTGTTTACATAGAAAGTTAAACACAGTTAAGTTAATTAAACATATTTTTTTCTCTATTTTATTTTAATGGCTAAAATTTTTTTAGTGAATTCGATGTGAAACAATGAGTTCAAACATAAAAGTGAGGTGGAAAATACTTAGATTAAAATAATATTATTTTGGAATATTAAAAAATATTAATGAATATAAAAAAAAGGTAAAACACCATTTTTAGTCCCTTAACTTTACCTCTGGATTCATTATGGTCCCTTATTTTTAAAAAGTTTCAAAGTAGTCTTTTAATTGTTCAAAAAAGACCACGTTTATCTTTTCCGTCTGGACTGTTAGTCAAAGTCAATGGTAGAGCATATGTGACATATATGTGGCATTGCACGTGTTTACATTTTCGTCCAGGTGGATTAAAGTATCTTAAAAAAAGGATTAAAGCATTGCATGAGTTAAAGAATCAGATTACATCTCCAACACTTTGAAGGTAATCCTAGGACAACCATTGTTGGTAGCTCCATTCTGCGAAGAAGCTACGAGCGAAGCGAAGGCACATTTTGTTCTTGAAGGTGAAATTGACTACAACACTGCTCATCCTAGGTAAGTTTCTGCAAAACTATGATATTCATAGTTAGGGTTTTTTCAAATCAATCTTTCTGAAATCTAATATCTTCCTGTTCATTTAGGATATAGTCTGAAATGGATGAATATCTGAACATTACAATACACCATAGTGGAAGATTTGTTACTGAGGACATGAGTGTTTACGAAGGAGATGAGATTGTTGATTTGAGAGTAGATGTTGATAAGTGAAGCTATTTTGAATTGATAGGTGCTATTGAAGAGCTAGGTTACGCAGATGTAGAGAATATATATTAATAGGAATCCTACTGCTGGGATGAATATGTTGGTTGATGACAAGGGGGCATTAGAGATTGTTGATCTATATAGGGTTCACCTTAGTGTTGAAGTATTTATTCAACACACGTTATCAAAGCCTGATTATGCTGATGAGACTGAAGTTGTGTTAGACGAGGTACCCCTTAATGTGATAGTTGATGAGGCAGAAGTTGTGCTTGAGGAGATGTTGAATGAAACTGATGGAATGAAAGATGGTGTTAGGGAAGATGATGTTAGCATGGATGGTGTTGGGGAAGATGATATTAGGGAAGATGGTGTTAATGCAGTAGGAACTGATGATAATGTGTCAATGGTTGATGAGTTTGAAAGTGATGATATTGGACATGTGGCTGGTGAGGTTGATGATGTTGTTAGACTGATTGATGATGATGATGATAGTTCTAATGATAGCACCTTCAACTATGATAGTGCAACAGGGGTAGAATTTGATGATGAGTCTGATGAGTATGACATTGATTTGGATGAGGAAGAGGGTAAGTTGGGCTACAAACAAGATGAGGTTTGAGAAATTGACAGATGTTGAAGTGTTGCCTAACATTATGAAGAAGGTTGAAAAAAACAAGTTCATACACAAGCATGTGGCTTATCAGGTAAATTGCTTTAAACAAATTTATTTAAAGTGTATATTTACACAAGCATGTGGCTTATCAGGTAAACTACTGTGATCCTTTTTGAACAATTAAAGGACCACTTTGAAACTTTTTAAAGATAAGAGACCAGAATAGATCCAAAGGTAAAGTTAAGGGACTAAAAAGGATATTTTGTCATATATATATATATATATATATATATATATATATATATATATATATATATATATTAATTATTCCTATATATAAA